TTCGTCGCTTGTACCGCTTTGCTAATGACTTTTTAACGGCCATTAGCGATCTTTTTTGCCTGTGTACCTCTCCTTTAGGATCAGTAACACGGCCGTATTCAAAGTGTGATGTTTACGTCTGATACTCGCCACGATACGCCGAATCTTTGGCGTATAAGGCCTGTGAGTATTTAAGTGATTCATCACACCTTAAATACGAGATGCACCCTGTCGAGCCTTTTTGATCTTATTTGCAGTATGTTCGATGCGTCTTTTCAGGCTTAACTCAGGATTGACAGGTGTTCGTCTGCCCTGAGTAAACCCTCGAGCCACATCATGGACTGTATTGTTGAGTGCAAAAAGGTCTGCACTATCTGGTACCCGGTGGTCGAGATCTTGGTTAGTGCTAGCTAGGTGTTCTGCAGAGAGCGTAATTTTCCGGAGAAAATTACCCTCTCTGCTGGTGAAGTCCTGCTGATTGGTGCCCTCAGGGGAAGGAGATGGGGGTTCTGCAGTGAGAGAAGGGTGGAACGGGAGTATGCTCTACCTCGGTGCGGCTGTCTCGGGTGTCAGTGAGACTTCGTCCTCAGTCTCTGAAGCGTTTGATATTGAAGAGTCAGAGTCTGACTCCTCTTCTATCCGCCGTCGAGATTGAGTATACCGCACCTGCGATGCGAGCGCCGCCTACGTTAGATGTTGTAACTCTGGGTGCATTTCGCACCACAGAGTATGCAGGCGCCTGGCATAGCCTAAGGTCTGTGGCTCGCATCTTTCCCAACACTGCATAAAATCCCGTCTCAGCTCCTCCGTCCACCTGAGACGCTGTAGGGGTGGTCCGTGGTCGATATCCATGTTGGAACGTGTCATAAGGCCCCTCCCAAGTGGTCCATGGCCCTCATACGAAGAGGGCTGGTTGTGGGGGGCCGGTGCAGGTCTATCGTTAGTAACCTGTTGAGATTCTTTGCAGGGGTGGTTAGCCCACTGCAAAGGTGGTGATGTTTAACGAAACCGAGATGGATAGTTTCGTTCCTCACGCCCAGAAGGCCATCACCAGTGAGGAGGAAAAACTGGCTGTACGGACTTATTCCATTACCGTAGCGAGAGGAGCACCCCTCGGCCAGACAATTATTATTATTATTATTATCATTCATGTTCTATTTTTTTAACTAATTTTATTATAAATAAATAATTTAATGATTTAATAAAAAATAAAAAATTTTTGTGAGGAGAGAGCTATAAGTGAAGAATCAAAGTTTATTTAACTTTTATTAGAATTTATTTTTGAGCCATCAATAAGATTACATAAATTCGTATATACGTATAGCGATGCAGGATGACCGTCATTTATGATTATAGTCACCGAACAGTCATACGACCGTCATGTGACTGACTGTCTCAAATGACTGCCGGTTTTAAAATGCCAATTTACCGTCAGGAATTTTTTGGTCACACATTTGGTCATCTGCATCTAACTTGATGGTATAAGACGAGATGTACTAAACTGTCTTAAAAACCTTCTTAACAATGTACTGGTTCTCGTTTCTGGTCCGAAGGATGGGGATCATTGCTTTGTACTTGTGATAACTGTAAAAAAATGTATGAAGAACAACAGGTTCCATTTCTGCTTAATCCAGCTGATAGCGTCCAAGCTTATGACAGAGCTGGAAAATTACAAAGCTCAGAATCTCAATACAAAAAGGAATCAGGTTTCTGTGGAGTAGTCTGACACCAGCTCCAAGTGAACAGCTGAGGTCTCGAAGCAGACAAAAACAGCTGTCCAGCCTTTGTATGTTTTTGCGCCTCTTCCCTGGAAAGTCTTGAGCGTGAAGGGACCAGCATAGTCTACCCGAGTAGTGTGAAATGGTCGAACCGGTACTACACGATCAGCTGGGAGCTGGCCCATGAGCTGTTGAGCACGTCGAGCACAGATCACGCATCTCAGTATAAATGAACGAATAGGAGCTCTTCCTTCTAGGATCCAAAACTTTTCCCGAACATGAATGAAAGTAACTTGAGTTCCTCCATGGAGCGTTCGTCGATGAGCTTGATCAATAACGAGCTGTGAAAAGTAGGATTTTCCTGGGAGTATAATCGGATGGATTTCATCTTCTTCGAGCTCAGAGTTTATTAGGCGACCACCAACACGACGTATACCTTCTTGATCAGCGAAAGCTGCGAGCTTAGAGACAAAGTGCGATGATGGTAATTGAAGCCCATCTCGCAGAGTTTTTAATTCAAATGGGAAGTGAAGTCGTTGTATGATCTTCACCCAAATGAGCTTAGCATCGAGCTGTTCTTGTGGAGCTATAGGATTGTGAACTAACGAGCTGGTGGTTTTTCCTCTAAGCAAGGCGACGAAGCGTAGACAGAGAGCAGTAATGCGTGAGAGCTTGGAGAGCAATGAGTATCTTGATAGAAGGGACCACAATGGATGATCTTCTTCAGATGGAGCTTTAGCTGCGTGCAATAAGACGCCTGATCTTTCTTCTTTGTGAGCAAGAGCTGAAGGTTTGAACTGTTTAGCTGGCCAAGAAGAAAATGAGCCTTTAAGCCATTCAGGTCCTTTCCACCAGAGCTTGAAGTCAGTTAGTTGGGTTGGAGTAAGGCCACGAGAGGCAAAATCCGCTGGATTGTGTTTTCCAGGGATGTAGAGCCATTTAGTGGTTGGATTTAGCTCTTGACTGGATGAAACTCTGTTTCGCACGAATTCTTTCCACTTAGATGGATGACTAAGAATCCATGTTAGTGCTACAGATGAATCAGTCCATAGATAGATAGGAGCTTGAGCTAATTCGAGCACTTCTTGAGCATGTTTCACGAGCTTTAAGAGCATCCAAGCAGCAGTTAGTTGGAGCCGAGGAATTGTAACTGGTTTTAATGGTGCTACCTTAGTTTTAGCACACAAAAGCTGGATCTGAGCTGATTCGTCTGAGTTTTGAACTTTGACATGAATGCATGCAGCCATGGCTAACTGCGATGCATCTAAGAAGCCATGTATTTCTATGTATGAGCTGGAGATCGTGTTGAGCCATCTAGGGATGTGAACATGAGCGAGATATGGTAACTCGTCTCGTAGGTGCGTCCACCCTTAAGAGAGCTGAGCAGGAAGTTCATCATCCCATCCTGATTTGTTTAACCAGAGCTCTTGAATGAACATTTCTGCTCGATCTATTACTGGAGCTAAGAATCCGAGCGGATCAAAGAGCTGAGCTACTTCAGAGAGCATTGAGCGTTTCGTGAGTTTCTTGAGCGTTGAGCTTTTCGGTGAGAATATGAATTGATCAGATGCAGGACTCCAAGATAGTCCAAGCACTTTTAGTTCTGTATCATCTAGAGCTTGAGTAAGAGCAGTTGAGAGACTTTGTAGAGCTAGAGCTTGGAGAAGAGCAGGACTATTGCTTGACCACTTTGCTAGAGGGATGCTCCCCGCCATGCAGAGCTTTATTAGATCTTGAGCTATGAGCTGAGCTTCGTGCAAAGTATCTGAGCCACCGAAAATGTTGTTAACATAACGAACCTTCGTCATAGGAGCTATTGCACGAGGATATTTTATGCCTTCATCTTCTATTAGTTGAAGTAGAACTCGTACAGCAAGAAATGGAGCTGGCCTGGTACCATAGGTAACCGTGGTGAGCTGATATGGAACTATATTGTTATGTTCATCAAGCCAAAGAATCCTCTGGAGATCCCAATCGGCTGGATGAACGTTTATCTGTCGAAACATCTTCGTTATATCAGAGCTAAGGATCATTTTGTGTCGTCTAATCCATAACAAGACGTCGAAGATGTCGACTTGGAGCTTGGCACCAGTATGAAGAACATCATTGAGCGAGAAACTAGAGCTTGTCTGAGCTGATCCATAGAAGACGACTCTCAACTTTGTAGTGAGACTCTGCTCACGTAGAACTCCATGATGAGGCATATAAAAATGAGGCAGACCATTGGGTTGCACCGATGACCCCTCTACCGAGACCCTCAACCCTCCTGATACCGAAGTATTATGTGCCAAGGTCATCTCATTCGAGCGATCACTAGATACAATACCTGGACTTCCTCTTGAGCTTAATTGAACGTCTGGAGCACGCCTCATATGTCCTAGAGCTTGATATTCGTTCATAAATTATGTGTAGAGCTGATTGAGCTTAGAGTCATTTGAGAGTCGCTTGAGCATTGATCGAAGACACTTGAGAGCAAGGGTTTTGGATTCTCCAGGAGCTGGTGGTGATGGAACTATTGGAAGTCTCACAACATATCTTCCGGCTGCATCCCTGAGGTGAGTTTTGATGAAATGAGCTTTACAGTGTTCTTCGTCTGGAGTGAGCTTAGAGAAATGAGCTCGAGCTGTCTCTTCTTGAACCCAAAACTTGGATAGTAGTTCATGAAGATCGTGATCCTGTTTCACGTGAAGAGCTGGACTTGTTAGAGATGATGAGCTTGACTTAGTTGCACCGAAGACGATCCAACCAAAAATAGTCTTGAGAGCTATGGGATCTGAGGCTTGACCTCGTCTGAGCTCCGAGCGAATGACTTGAGCTAATGGTATAGAGCCCAGAGAAACATCAATGTTACCTGACGTTCTATACTGAGGATCTGCGAGCTGTAAGCCCTTAAGATGAGACCACGATGAGCTGTCGATGTTGTAGGTAGGTAAGACTGTTGTTATCTTGTGTAACGAGATGGGTGAATCGAGTGTCACCCAGCCCTTCAGCAGGTCGATACGTTATCGACCTGTCGATCATTGATTGACCTAATTTACCAATTAGGTCAAAATAGTTTATTTTTGGCGGCGCTATCATCACCACGTGGTCAGCCGGCTAGAAATTTTACATAAAGACGCCATTGTGGAGTTGTTGTCGAAAGAGTAAGCACGTGGTGTCAAGTTCTCTTCACTGATTCTCTGCAATCATCTTTTCTCCGACGTTGCGGAGTAATAATTAAAGTAAAAATTGTGAAAACGAGTCTCTCGACGTTGCGAGAGCAATAGTGAAGTGCCAGTTAGGCTGTATTTATCGAAAAAGCCCTCGACGTTGCGAGGTGAAGTTAGTTCGTTGTTGGTTGGTGTACTTTACCACCTGTTCAGAGGACCAGTTATTGTTTCGTGTACCAGTCGCAATTAATTTGTGGATGTCTCGCCGAGGAAGTAAGCCCCGTTGGACCAGGGGTCTGGGATACTTAGACGACGAGGAGCTTCCGTAAGCTGAAACCATCTACATCTATCTACTATCTCTTTCCTTTCTATACTCCCTGTGTGCAAGTGTGAGAGAGAGAGAGTATGTGCTTTGCGATCCGGTACCAGTAATTTCGTCTAGGACCATCTGTCCTTGTTCCTCGCTGAGGAATTTCTTTGTTCCGAGAAATAAATGCTTTCGAGAACGTTCTCGCGTGATTATTACTATTATTTAGTCACATTAATAGGTATCGTAGGTTATTATAATTGATTTCATTCACGATTAAGTTCAATTAAATTCCAATTATTATTATTATTAAATTGAATCGATTATTTTTGATATTTGTATAATTTTGTGAATCAATTAAATATATAGATTTTCGCGTTAACGAAATTGTTAATCGAGATATTAATTTTCTTTGCATTAATTAATTCAAATAAATTTAATTTTACGTTAATAAAAGTCCTTGATTAAACATATACAATTGGTGTAAAGACTATTTGTGTTCGCGAGTATTTTTCGCGGTTTTCAGGTAAACCAGAGCTAGCCAGCTTTCCCAGGTTTCTCGTTTTCTGGCCTAAAAAACGAGTGGCGTCCACAGGTAAGAATCATTAAATAAGTAAATTTGTTGGGTAGATTGGCACCTACACGGTCAGGGATTAAGGCAACTTGCCCTGATCGCGGTAGCGTTGCATTTTTGGCGCCCGACGTGGGGCCCGAAGTTGCCAACTTGTTGATTAAAATTTTTATTATTATTTTTTTTGCTCGAACCCGTGAGCCTGAGATTGAGAGTTTCAAAACAGAAAAGAACGTTTTCCCTTGCCTAAATTAAATTGTTGTTTTCCTCACTCTTGTGAGTAAATAATTTCTTTGTTTTGTACCAGTGAAAATTATTATTTCTTGTACCATTTTTTCGGTTGTTTGTGTATTTTCTTTCAGGAAATTATCTACATGAGACTATTGAAGGTCGACTTAAATTGAAATATTAAGACTCACTAAAATTTAAATAAAATATTTTTTTTCGGAGTATACGAAATAAATCTGATTTTATTGTTCTTTTTATTGATTAAACTTTATTTTATTTTGGGTTATCTCCTGAATCTAATTGTTCTTTTTGTTGTAAATCCGGGTTCTTTTTGAACTTACTAAGTAAAATTTGGTAATTAAAGATATTTTTCGAGACAATAAAATTTCTAATTGGTGAGTAATTGTTTTCCCGCGTTTTGGGAGATTATATACTATTTTTGATTTTTTCGATTGTTTTGAGATTTTTGGGGGAACGAACGCCTTCTATAGTCTCTAGGATAAAATTATCCCTATTATTCCCTACTCCTGCTGCCTTAGTACGTGGTAGCTCAAATAAATAATAGTCAATCGGAGTAAATATTTTAACAATCTGAATAAATTGATAAATTAACGAATAATTTAACTAAATAAAATAAATATCATTATAATATTGTTACTTAAATATTGTAAAAGTTAAAATCAGAGTAAAACTTTCGCGTTTTAACAAGTTATTAGCTTAGATCGATAGTAAATAGGACCAGAAATCATGAGTAAACAGCTAGAAGGTGCAGCTGCTCTATCGGATGGAGCAGAAGAGGAGATAATGGCTGGAGAACCAGCCAATATTCAAGAAGCAGGTACAGAGAGTGAAGCTCCACACTCAGATCACTCTACTCGACGTACCAGGAACAAAGTGTACCAGTTGGAAGTACCCGCGGGGGCAACTAAAAAGAAAAAGAAGCCCGCAAAAGCCTCTGGTAGTGAGAGCATCCTGGAAAGGGGTCCTCATCCTACAGACCATATCCTCAGGGAGTTAGCACAGTCAATGGATGATTCCACTCAGACTATGAAGCGGTACCTACAACACATGGATCACCGATGGGCTGAGTCAATGGAGATCCTGATGAATGAATTAAAGGAACACCGATTGGAGATGAACTACCATAATCAAATCCTTAAGAACCTCAGCGATAATTACGAGAAGTTGAACGAGGCCGTAGCTCAAATAAAGGAGCACTTGCAAGAATCAAGGCAACGGGCTAGGATTAACGAACCAGTCAGAAGCAGTCCTACACCTCCGCCCCGACCAAACCCTAGGATATCCATTATTCCTGATATAGAACCAGCGGAATCCTCGGGACTAGGCCGACTGTCTGGTCTGGTACAAGAATCAAGACCTCATGCCCCTATCCATCGAGAACCAGAACCTGTGAACCAACCATTAGAATCTGCGAACAATTGTTCATCGCCAATGAACCAGCACACTGTACCGGTGCCAGTTGATCAAACAAGGTTTGAACAGGGTATCCGAGAGAACCAAGCTTCGTCACCTCATAGAAACAGAACTACCTGTGATGGTGGACGAAACGGTCACCGCACCATAGCTCAGATGGCCAAAGACTGGAATATCAAATTTCCCAGCACACTACCAGCTAAGGTATTCCTACAAGCTTTGGAGAGAAATGTTTTTGCTGAAGAAGCCAACTTTTATGAGATTGTGTCAGCCCTATCATGGGTGTTCCAAGACTCCGCTCGTACTTGGTACGAATCACGCTGCAAATCCTGGAGGAACTGGGCAGAGTTCAGAGCCGAGTTCGCTGATTATTTCATAGCTGAACAGGCAGACTATCAAATCCAAGCCGAGATGTGGCAAAGGAACCAGCGACAGAACGAAGATGCTAGCACGTATATTCAGGCTATGGAAAGCTACTTTTTAATGAGAGATGGAGTTATATCCGATCAGGATAAAATAGCGGTTACTCATCGTGGCCTTAGGTCCGAGTTACTGCAATACATACAACAGCCTACCATGTATACGCGCTACAGTAAATATGTGGCAGCTGTTTTAAAAGCCGAGAAGACGGTCAGCCTTATCAAAACTAAACGAGCTCAAGAAAGGACCGATTGGAGAGCGAATCAAAACAAGAACCAGATAGCAGTCCTCAGCGGTGACAGCTCCGACACAATGGAAGAGGATCAGGAAGAAGATCCTGTCGAGTTACTCGCTATTGAGGACAAGCCCAGGAGCCAGAAGGGAAGTAATAGTCCAAAGAAAGGTAGAGACTCCCGTCGGCCGACTAACAAAGATCCGAGGAAGTCACCTGAGAGAAAACGACCCCTCAGATGTTTCCTGTGTGCTCAACAGGGGCACACAGTGTTCGAGTGCAAAAATGAGAGAGTCGACTATTGCACTCGTTGCTGGAGAACTGGGGTTAGACAAGACAACTGCCCCTGTGCTCAAAAGAAAAGCACTTCAAAAAACGAGTAGTCGCCTCGGAGCCACCAGGGCCACCAGACAATTCTCCGAGGCAAATTTTAAAACCAGGCGGTACTGAAGAAACCATCGTAGCGACCACCACGGGAAATGATGAACCCAATTCTGATAGTAACTCAACAGAAAATGAACTTAACACCAACAATCTGTCTGAGGTAGATCCACCTAGTCCTGCCATTGTACAAGAAGAGCCTAAGGTGGAACCCGACAAGAAAATTGAACCCGTAATTACGGCAATGGCCAGCAATGGCGAACCAATTGACAATGAATCATCGAATTGTGCACCAGAGGAAGAAGCAGGTTCGACTACGGAATTTTCTGATAGTGAGAACGAATACTCTGAAGAAGAAGAACCAGAGTTGAACACTCTTATTGATAATAAGTACCTCGAATTGAACCAGTGCGATTGGATTTCAAGAAATCTTCAATCCGCAAATATTTTCGATGAACCAGACCGAGCTGTTGGAGAAAAACCTTCAGATAACCTCACCAGAGCAACGGCATCGGTTAAATTCGGTGGTGTCACCATACGAGCACTATTAGACACTGGAAGTGATCGAAACTACATGTCAAAGAGGCTACATAAGTTCGTTAAAGACTCACAAATCCCGCCCGAAGGCAGTGATCCAGTACCATGTGGTGGAACCAGACTAGCTGATGGCGTAACCA